CTGTATCATCCAATCAACTAATTACACAATAAATGCATTCCTAGTAGAAATGATATTAAACGCTACTACAACTTGATTGCAATCAGTACCGAAGCAATTTAAAGTCATAATCAACATTCAATAATCTCAAACCGACATTCAATTATGCGAAAAGTTATATATCAATAAACGTTCTCAATGGACATTATCAATTCAACACGTCGAGTATCAGAATAATATTAAAGTATCGCAAACAAACTGAAACGAAAACAAATATAATCTGAATACAAGAAACTTAACCAAATATCCAACATTCGGGCTCATCCAACTAGTCGAGAGCTGATGAGGAGATCAGTGGAGTCAATCTCGATCTCGCCTACACTGTAACGGACAACCGGGAACTCAGCCGCTCATGGTGGTGATGACGGAGGTTGAAACAGTGGAAACGGAGCTGATCATGGCGAAGAGGAGGTAACCGACAGTGATATGATGCGAAGAAGGGCCGAAAACGACCAACAGACAGCCCAGAATATGAACAGCCGCGGTTCGCCAGAAAACGTTAATTTTTCGGTGGGTCTCTGGAAAACGGTGGCGGAAATGGGATCCGAAGGTACCGATGGAAAGCTCTGGTGATGTGGAGTTCAGATCAGGTCTTGAGGAGGTCAGAAGTCGCCGGAAATGAGCAGGATCTGGCCTAGAAGATGAAGAGTGGCGGCGGCTAAATCACCAATTCCGGCGGTTTTCGCGGCGGCTGAAGCAAGGGAAGTGTAGATCTGGCCGTGGGGAATGAAGATCTACCCTTGGGGAGCTGGAACGTCGCCAAAAAACGGCCAAAACTGGCCGGGAAGACGAAGAGTCGCGGTGGGAAGATAAAGCGTCGCGGTGGGTGCGTGTTTCACAGTGGTGATGAAGGGATGATGGTGACCGGAGTAAGGGGAAGCCGAAACGTCGCCGGAAATGAAGATGAAGGGTTGCCGGAGCTTGATCGGAGAAGGTGAAGAGTTTTGGTGGGCGGCAGCCACCGTTTCTGCGAACTTTCACTGGACTTTTATACAAAATTTGGAAAATTTCCATTTGGTCCCTACATGATTGAAACATGACAGAATCAACCCCTTAAAACATGACATTTTACCCCCTAAACAGTATAAATGAGACAAAATCACCCTTAATCCAAAAATCACAACCTAATATCAACTCATATACTTTCCAAAATCATTCCAAACACGTTAAATTCATAAGAAAAATATTAGGAAGCTATTCTCGTGAATAAATTCATAAATTCTTTAATTGTCTCAATATACTTCGATTTAATCACACATGGGGTATTTTTATCACCAAAATAGAGTCACTTTCATGACTCTAACAGTTTGTCATCATGGTGAAGAGGAATTAGTTGATATGGAAAAGCGAAAAACAATATATTTATGAAGTTTTTTTCAACTAATATCTGTCACAAAACAAGTAGAAATTTTAACCTTTATAAAGAACAATGAACAACGCATTCGTAATTGTTATGCCGAGTCTTCTAAGCTTGAGAGTCTTGATTTTGTAACAATGATTTCATATGATGCTTTATTCATCCTAGAGCTCTTCATTAGAAAACATAAGGGTGAGTGTGATTTTTATTTAGATAGGCCAAAGTTGTACTCTGACATATACTTAGACATACAATTACTCGAAAATCAACTTCCATACTTTGTCTTGAATGAAATATATAAATTAGCTCTCGACAACCTTGATCTTGAATCTACTCCCTTTAAGCATATTTGTTCTAAGTTCTTTGACGAAGACACGATCAAGAGCATGCCCGACGAGACAGTAAAAGTTCTACATTCCATGGATTTGGGTGGAACTGCACTTTTGAAAAGCTGCCCTTTAGAGAAAAAGTCAAAGGGAGTTTTTGTGAATTTACCAAATGCGGTGAAGCTGTATGAATTAGGAATCAAGTTTAAGTGTGTTGATGGAGATTGCTTACTCGACATAAGATTGGAAGAGCGAAAGCAGCGAATCCCATACTTTAAAGTAAAGGAGCTGCAAATACCACAACTTTTGGTACATGACGGGATGGAATCTCTGCTCAGAAATATAATGGCTTTGGAACAAGTGCACTATCCGAAAGGCTATTGGATTTGCAATTATGTCGATTTATTGGATTGTCTTATTGAAACTGAAAAAGATGTGGATTTGCTTGATGGAAAGAGGATTATTTTGAACTGGTTGGGTGATAAATGCTTCTGTGGCGACTATGTTTAACAAACTTTGTGAAGAAATTTATATAGAAGAATCGTGTTACTACACCATTTGCAAGGAATTGAAAACACACTACAACAATCCTTGGAACCATAGCAAGGCAAAGTTGAAAAGTGTGTATTTCAGCAAACTTTGGAGAGGCACAGCGACTATTGCGGCAGTTGTACTTTTATAGCTCACTGTAATACAAACTGTTTGCTCTATCTTGCAAGTCGAGTGATATTTGAATTAAATTGTTATGTTGAACTCAAATTACACTAATTTTATACATGGAGTGATCCACCCCTTTATATTAAAAATAAAAATAAAAATATATTAATATTTAAAAAAGAATGTAATTTAATAATCTAGATAATATATTCACTAATTTAATCATTCCAATCAAATATATTAATATAATATATCCATCAATTTATTCTAATCTAACAAAACATATTTTTCTCAAAATTCCGTATAATCCTCAAGATAATCTATATTTTCATTAACATAAAATAAAACGTAATTTAAGACAATTTTTTTAACTTTCCTCTTTTCCAAACAAACATTAAACGGTGTCGGTGAGCATGATCAATTGGTCAATATGATTGCGTAATATTCTAGATTCTTTGTGTCGTCAGAAATATATAAGCCATGTGTATCAGACGGAGGGGGAAGCCGGAAGGAACCATGTGCTATGGCACTGTAATAAAAATTTTAAGATGATCGTTAAAGGTAATAGCATTATTGGTGTTGAAAATTAATTTAAAATCTTTTAAAAATTATTGGTCACATGTCGTTTTTCTTGTACCAATAAGATAATATACAATTTTAGAAATGTACGTTTAAGACAACCTTTTTTAACTTTTCTTTTTTCCAAACAAACATTAGACGGTGTCGGTGAGCATGATCAATTGTCAATGCCACTGTAATAAAATTTTTAAGATAATCATTAAAGGTAATAGCATTATTGATGTTGAAAATTAATTAAAAATCTTTTAAAAATTATTGGTCACATGTCGTTTTTCTTTTGATCAATGGCTCCCACTTATTGACTTGAGGAGGTGTACGTGTTTGAATTTTTCTTGCTAATTAGCCCCACACTCACCAATATCAATAAAACAAAACAAAAGAAAAGTTGCCTGGGTTGAGTAAGTGGTACAAATGATGCGCTGTCGTTTTTTATTACTAAGAAAAGAGAGTGAGTACTATGTAAAGTCAAGACTCTTTGAACACTAGAGCAGAGATCTGACGAATGAAATTGTTTAATTTTGTGTTTCTTTGGGTAGAAATGAACGGCTGGGATAAGTAATCACATGGATTACCACATGGTTTTCTTTGTGTTCGTCATTGCTTATCAAATCATGTTAATGTATGACGTTTTCTTGCCAATCAGCCCCACACTTTCAATATCATCTAATAAAATAATAAACCTCGGCTATTATAGTCCGACAAACCCTTTAATTAGTCATATTTAAAGGGTCTTAAGTTTTAACCGAGGAGAGATACTTATCAGTAATTTATAAAATTATTTTAATTTATTAGGTTTGTTGAGTGTTATGTATCCTTAAAGAATATAAGACTCCCGTATAAACTTAAATACCTCAATTACTTAAAAATAATAATAATAAAATAAATATGTGTCAATATGATTGTTTATATATAATATCTTCAAAAGTAAAGATTCACATATATATACGAATTTCAAATCTCCTCGTGAAACAAACCTTTAGGTTAAAAGTTAAAAATAAAAATTAAAAATTAAAAAAAAAACCTAAGGGTTTTTTGTTGGAGATAATATTGAATTACTGAGATAATGTTATGTTATATTACTTGATTATCACATTTGATTGTCAAGTAATATAAGATTATCTTAAAAAATCAATAGTAGTTATTGTTGGTAATATTAGAGGTAATTTGATTAGTTTTATTTTTTTAGGTATTGTAAGATTACATGGTAATTTTATTTTTGTTACAGTTTTACCCATTATTAATATTTTTTTTTGGATAATACTGCCCTTGTTTTAAAATCAATTAACATTAATCTACAATTACAATTTTACCCTTGTCTAATGTCTAATTAAGTTTTTAGACAACAATGCCCTATATTTAAAAAAAATTGTTGTCCACCACTGCCACCCAGCCACCACCATTGGCAGCTGGCCAACGGCCATATCAGCAACTTCTGACGATTTCCAATGACTTTCGACGATTCCTGGTGTCAGAAGGTGGTAATCGACGGTGGTGACTGGTGGTCTGTAGCGGTTTGGTGTGGATGGGGTGATTTTTTTACAAATTAAAGTTTTATATAAGTTATGATATTTTAGATAAATCTGAATTGTTGGGGGTTAAAAAAAATTAATTTAAAAAATAATAATAAAAATAATAGTATATTAATATTTAAAGATGACAGCAATTTAATAATTTAAATAACACACTTATCAATTTATTTTTCCTAACCAAATATATTAATATAACATATCTACCAATTTATTCCAACCAACCAGACATATTTCCTTAAAGATTTTCAATAATTTTCAAGATAATCTAACTTTCTATTTATATAATATTTTTAATAATCCAACATTTTCTGAACCGAATGCACCCTAAAAGTTTTTAACCTTAGCATACACGTTGAATAAGAGTTATTTATTTATTTATTTATTTTTTATTAAAACTAATATGTAAAAGGCTTCCATTTTTGACTGTGGAGGTGTTTCACTGTTTCTTGACTTGAGGTCATTCTTCATGTATAAATATCATAGCCCTCTTTTCTTTGAGAGTATTTCAGCTTAAGTTTCCTCTCCACACTCCACTTACAACTTTCTTACCAAATTTTCCTTTTCGGGTATTGCTTCCCAACCTCAGGTACCCAAAGAGGTAACTCTTTCAACCTGTTTTTTTTTTTTTTTTTCCCCCTTCTCTGGTTGAGTTTTATTTTCACATTATTTTCAGATAATTTCTCTTTCTGTCTCTTTTTTAATTAGCATCCGAGTGAAGATATCTGCAATTTGTTCTATTCTAGTTCAAAAAGAAGCTGAATTGAAGCTCATGATAAAAGCAAAAGATGAGGTATATATGCTTAACTTGACTAGTGGGGTTGTAATATGGGCAAGAAAGGAATCATAATCACTCACTTGCAACTTTCAGTTAAGTGTTTAACAAGCTTTCATCATAAATCGTTGGATTAGCATTTTATAAATAGGCAACAAAACACATGATAAAGCAAAAGATCATGTGTATGTGCTTAGCTTGATAAGTGGGATTGTAACATGCAGAGGAAACGAATCACATTATCAAGGCCATGTATATAATATACACATGCTGAAGGAAGTGGAAGAGAAAACACATTATCAATAAACAAAGAGAGATGGGAGAGATTCACCATAAGTAACTCATCCCTGCCGCTGTGAGCTGTGGATAAATTAGTAAGTAGTTACTCAACATTATATTTGTCTGCTATTATTATTATTTTTTTGTTTGTTTGTTTTAGAATTATTTTAGGATTATAAACAAAAAGAAACCCTTAATTAGCATCCAAGTGATGGGGATATGAGAGATTGTGCAGTATCTTATATGAATAAATATTTGTAATATATGAGAAACTAATACATGCATATAAGTTAGGAACTCGAGGCAATTTTAAGTACATAAGCTCATACACAAAACTAGACTTAACTTCTCAAATCTGCACAGAAGATAGAGGAAACACATGATATCAAGGTGATGAACAAGAATATATAGAAATTTGAAGAGTCAAAGATACCAACCATAAGTATTATTAACACATCCCAGTCCAGAATTAGAGAGGAGGAACTTTACTTATAATTTTTTTTTTTTTTTTTTTAAGGAATATGGGTTTGGAGATGAGTAGTACTGCCGCCAGTAAAGATGAGGACCAGAGCAAAGATTTGCTAATTGATATCACTGAAGAAAACTTATCAGATACTGAGCTTGCTCTTGAGTGTTATATTTGCAGGGTTCCTAAAAGCATTCGCCGAATAAATGAAGAAGCCTACACTCCTCAGTTAGTTTCAATAGGTCCTCTTCACCACGGTAAAGAAGAATTAGCTTTCATGGAAAGACAGAAAATAAGGTATATGGAAAGTTTTCTCAAGCGAATAACAGTTGAGAAATGTGACGAACTTTTAAGCTTCATAGAAAACAACGAACAACGAATTCGTAATTGTTATGCAGAGATCATTAAAATGGAGAGTGATGTGTTTATAACCATCATTCAACATGATGCTATTTTCATCCTCGAGCTTTTTCTAAGGAGTTACCATAACGATAGAAGTGACAATTTTTTGTTAAAGATTCCAACAACAAGGTTTGCCCTAAAGATGGATTTGCAGCTACTAGAAAATCAACTTCCATTCTTTGTCCTCGAGGAATTATACAATCTAGCTTTCGAAACTCCTACCTTCAGGGATCTTTCTCATAAATTCTTATGTTTATCCAATACCTTACCCGCTGAGATGGTGGTTAAACATTTCACCGATTTGAGAAGAAGTACTCTCTTCAGAAATTTCCCGCGGAGAAAGGAGTTAGAGCAAGGGTTCATTTCAGATTTACCTTGTGCAGTAAAGTTGCACGAGTCGGGAGTGAAGTTTAAGGGTATTGCAGGAACATCGTTACTCGACATAAGATTTGAGAAGCGAAAGCGGCTGATTTCATACTTTGAAGTTCATGAATTGCAAATACCTCATTTGGTAGTGGCTGACTATGGGACAGAACGTTTGCTTCGAAACATAATGGCTTTGGAGCAGTGTCATTATCCATCGAATACTCGAGTTTGCAATTATGTGAGAATAATGGATTATCTTATTAATAGTGAGAAAGACGTGGATTTGCTTGTTGGAAAGGGGATAATTAGAAATCGTCTGGGAGATAATATTTCTGTAGTGAATTTGTTCAACAAACTTAGCTTACAAATTCATAGAAGTAGGTCATGTTATTATAAAACCAGCATGGAATTGAAAGCACACTATAACAATCCTTGGAATCATACCAAAGCAACGTTAAAAAGTGTGTACTTCAAGAATCTTTGGCGAGGCACCGCCACCGTTACAGCAGCTGGGATTTCGTTGCTCACTCTCATGCAAACCATATCTTCTATGAAGCAAATTATGTAATACCTGTAGGTGTAATATTGCGTTTTGGAAGTTTGTTATTCTAATAGTTTTTCAATGTAATAGCTTCCATCATTTCTAAATTCTTAATACAATAAGAATGCTTATCATCTCCAGGTGTATAAATTTTATAAAGCCTGGCCACAACAAACACCAAGTGCCTGATAATCTTTCTGCAATTCATCATTTGGGTTTGAGGCAATAAGCTATGGTTGTAATTATTGTACTCTTATGAAATCTCACCTTTAATTTTCCTTTGAGGTTCATTTTACTACCTCGTAGCTGTCCAATACTTCATTAACTTCTTCTTCACCCGCTTCATAAGGATCAGAATGTACTCACCCTTTGAAGCTTCGTCATCCTAATAATATATGTTCGCTATATACTTCTCTTGACTTACAGTGTTATATTCGATTAATTAAAACCAATATAAATGAATCATTAATTAATTCGATTAGAGAATATATTAGATAAGTCTAGTTTGACTTTTAGATTAATTAAAATTAATTTCTTACTTCTACTACACCGCAACTTTGAAGTAAAATGTATATCCAAGCACATAAAGATTTGTAGCCAGAAACTAATATACTTCAATTTAGAAGAAAAATATATTTATCATCTCTTACTAAGATTCATGGGTGCTTATTTACCCTTTCAATCGTCAAGTTTGATCAACTCCAACCTTGGTAAACTAACCACAGGAAAGGTTGTTTCTAATTAATTTTCCAAATAAAAGGGAGTTGAATAAAGTTTGAGTAAACTATAATAACAGTCATTGGAACCATACCTAGGCAATCTTAAAAAGGTTGTATTTCAACCAAATATCCTTTATTCAAAGTGTGATATGAGTATTTTTTCACAACCAAGTATATTACGCTACACAAGAGCGGCATTTTTCCACCAGAGATCTGGAGATAGCAATGTTTCAAAAGACATTAAAATTATACATTTTTAACAAAAGTGTTTTTGGAATTATTTCAATATCGTTAATTGCCGTCTTTTAGCTTTGTTGTAATTGTAGTATAAGCTAACAGATCAACTTCTAGAATGAGGGTAAATAAAACTTTACTGTGTTATAGTTTAGATTGTGCCTCAACTTTTCTTCAATCGTTGAGACTTTCAATTCTTCGTAACTCAAAAGAGTCCAAATCAGGGGATAAATACTCTGCTTCAATTTCTAATCCATCTCCTCAATGTACTTAAAATGAAACAAATAGCTGATACTCTAACTGATGCTGGTACACTTGTCTTTGATGATGAACTATCTTAATGTACATCAATGGTGGTCTGGGCGTTAAAAATATGTGACTGTGGTAGCTAATCTCACATCTAGATGAGATTCTGTTACATAGCAAGAGACTCAGTTTATGTTACAGACTCAACAGTTGCACATTGAAAAGCATAATGCTTAATTAATGCCAGCTCATGGTAACTTCTCTGCCGATTTTGCTACCAAGACCTGGTTTTAGTTTGGGAATCAGTTTTAAAATTCAGGAAGAGCTTCATTTCCAGCTCAATTTCGTGGTCATGGCAGAGTTTCTGATACAGGTACTGGCTGGCAGGGGAAAATCAGTAAGTTATTTATGAAGTAAAGTTGGAAAATCAGGTTGCTACAAGGACTTAATGAAGATATCTGCAATTTGTTCTATTCTGGTTAAAAAAGAAGATGAATTAAAGCTCATGGTAAAAGCAAAAGATGAGGTATGATTGCTCTTAACTTGACTAGTGGGGCTGTAATACGGGCAAGAAAGGAATCACAATCACTCCCTTGTAACTTTCAGTTAAGTGTTTAACAAGCGTTCATAAGTAACACGATAAAAGCACATGATAAAGCCGAAGATCAGGTATACATCAATGCTTGGGCAGCGGTAAGAGAAAACACATTATCAAACAAAGCGAGAGAGGAGTGATACACCATATGTAACACGTCCCTGTGGCTGTGAGCTCTGCCATTATTCAAGAGGAGGATTCTGGATACTGGTGCTCTTCATCACTCTACCATCTTTTTCAGTCCAAAAATTCAGGTGCACATTTAATTGCTTAATTCTTAAATCATTAAGTAATGTGATATTGTATTATTATGGATTATAATGTCTATTTTCCTATTTCCATATGTTACTTCTTTCTATCACAAACAATACATGAGAGATTGCATGCATATATATATAATACTTCAACAAACTTTCTTATATATTGAAGCAGCGAGTTAACGTAATAACAAGACTAGCACTCGATTATAAATTTAGAATTGATAAACAAGTCTCCATCACAGAAATTTAAACCTTAAAGTCTGAAATAAAATCTGAATAATTATTTAATAATATCCAAAACGAATAATAAGTTTATATAGGATGACAACCAGCCCTAACAAGATTCATAAAAAAAGGAAATAAAATCCAGATTAATTAAAACAAGAAAATCCTAAATGAAATAGGAAAAAACGCGCAGAAAACTAAAACGGCCCCGAAACATGCCGAAACGGTGGATTTTGACCTCAAATAGGCTAAATGTCACATTGTCGGGCTCAAAACGAGCTTTTCGTTGATATCTTACAAGTCTCGTAATTCCTCCTAGATCAAAAGTTATGTCCCGTTTTAAGTTGACATGCACATTTACGATTTTTTTAAGCTTTGCATTTAGACTTCTAACGCGTAGCCCTCTCCAAAAATTCTTGTTCTGCTAGACGTTCTACGTCATATATGAAACAAGTAGTTAAATTTCTGATTTTGTTAACAAAATTCTTTAATTCTTTATCAGCACTTTAAAAACTTCCAATTCTGGAATCGTTAAGAGGGTGTTTTATTCCAACATCACCATGGAAGAATCTAACATTGGTTTGAGAATTCGAAATGGGTTTTTCTTTTTCATTTGTCTTTATTCCGTAATTCGAGCTCATAATAGTGTTTTGTTGGAAAATTTTGCGTTGTTCTTGGAAATATTTGAATTTTGTAAAATGTTGAATGTTTTTTTTTTTTTTTTTTTTTTGGGTGTAATGAAAACTTTGTTATATATTTGTTTTTAGGTGCTGGGAAGTATTCAAATACCATTGTTTTTGTTCATTTTGGTGGTCGCTCTTTGATTTGGGAAGTGAATTCTAATGAATAAAGATTTAAAAAAAGAAAAAGAAAAATTAACTTTCTTCTTGATTCCTTCTGTTTGCAAAGGCTTTCTCTAAGAAATATAATTTTCAACGCACCATGTCAGGACATGCACATGGAACCTACTCCATCCAGTCCATTAGAATTCAATTCACTCTCTCATATTTTATGGGTTGAGTTTATCTTTACCTATTATTTTCTGTTTGTCATTCAAAGCGATGAGCTTGGAGATGAGTGATTCCATTGAAAATAAGGATATGGTCGAAAAGGTTCTAATTGACATTGAGAAACACTTGGGAGTCTGAGCCTGCTGCTAGGGAGTGTTGTATTTACCGTGTTCCTTTTAGGATTCGTAGAATGAAAGCAGATGATTACACTCCTCAATTCATTTCAATTGGTCCACTTCACCATGGTACAAGAGAATTAGCTGCTATGGAAATTAAGAAGAAAAGATATATGAAATACTTTCTTGACGGAACAAAAGAAACTTGATGAAATTTCAACCTTCTTCAAGAACAACGAACAACGAACAAAGAATTCATCATTCTTATGCAGAAATATGTAAGCTTAACACTCTTGATTACTGATTGATGATTCTGTATGATGCCATCTTCATCATATAGTTCTTTTTAAGGGCTCAAAGTGATGATGAAAGTGATTTACTGCTAGTTATAAGCACACAAGCAAGTACTCCATGCTCGGACCTGCAACTGGCAGAAAAACAACTTCCGTACTTTGTCCTCGAAGGAATATACGAGAAGTACTTAGCTATGGCTGGCTCTGATGTACCTACCTTCATGGAACTTTGTTGTTCTTTTTTTTAGACAAGCTATTGATTACAAATTATATTTGTTAGCCCCCGGGGAGACGGTTAAACATTTTACTAATTGGAGAAGAAGTACTATACTGAAAGGACACCCAGAAGAAGAGCCACAGGGACCAATAGTTCATTTACCTTGTGCAATGAAGTTGCATAAGTCAGGAGTGAAGTTTAAGAGTGTTGAAAGAGAATCCTTACTCGAGGTAAAGTTTGAAAAGCGAAAGCATAGAATCTCGTGCTTTAATCTACATGAGTTGCAAATACCAGATTTCATAGTGCATTCTCAGACCGAACGTTTACTTAGGAACATTTTAGCTTTTGAGCAGTGTCATTATCCATCAGATACTCGGTTTGGCAATTATATAATTTTTTTGAACTATCTTATTGATACTGAAAAAGGTGTGGATTTACTTGTGGGAGAGAGAGTTATCACCAATCATTTGGGCAACAATACTTTAGTAGCAAATCTGTTTAACAACGTTTGCAGAGGGATGCACGTAGGGAGGTCCTCCTACTTCCCTAAGATTTGCAAGGAACTGAAAGACCATTATAACAATCCTTGGAACAGAGCGCAGGCAACTCTGAAAAGAGTATATTTCCACAATATCTGGAGGGGCACAGCAACTGTTGCAGCAGTCATACTCCTGATTCTCACTGTCACACAGACTATATTTTCTATCTTGCAGGTCGTCTGATGTATTAGAATCGTTGTCTCCTTGAAGTGTATTTTCAATTTTTTTATTTGAAGCTTTGTCATCCTAATAATGTATGTTTGCTATGTATTGCTCAAGACCCACTGTATCATATCCATCATTTCGAATAATTTTCTTTCATTTTTGTGGAAAACAAACACCATCAAGAAAATGTCTTGTCAGAATCTCACTGAAGGTTTCCAATTCTTCGTAACTCAAAAGAGTCCAAATTAGAGGATAAATACTCCGCTTCAATTTCTAATCCATCTCCTCAATGTACTTAAAATGAAACAAATGGCTGACACTCTCACTGCTGCTGGTACACTTGTCAATGATGATGAACTATATTAATGTACATCAATGGCAGTCTGGGCATTAAAAATATGTGACTGTGGTAGCTAATCTCACATCTAGACGAGATTCTGTTACATAGTAAGAGACTCGGTTTATGTTACAGACTCAACAGTTTCACATTGAAAAGCATAACGCTTAATTAATGTCAGCTCATGGTAACTTCTCTGCCG